GGAATGTGTTTTCGCTTTTCTTGCGGCACATGTAAACATCTTGCAATTCGAGCTACAAACAATCGCGAATCCCAAAGGGCTGCTTTTTTCTCGCATAGGGATCTCGGCTTCGTTAACACCTAAGTCTTACCCGCCCCTCGCCCCAACATTTTTTTCCATTTTTTATTCTAAAATTATCCCTTCAGTTGTTTATTATTTTGACCACGTTTACGTGTTGTTGGTCTCTTTAGTTCCAATCGATTTAGCGCTAAGAGACAATGACTCGTTTATCAATAACAAGAACTTATCGGGAAAAGGTCCGTTCTCATAAACCTAGAGTGGGCAGGTCGAATCGCAGAAATTTATCCCCGTGGATCCAAGAAGATGGTACCACTAATTGTAAGTCAGAGAAGGTTTTAGGGCTACTCCTTTCCAGGGGGAAAAGCGAGCGTCGTATAACTTCGTATAATGCGAAAGGTTTCAGAACATGCTTACTGATATGACTCTCATATGACCAGAGATCTATTTCGCCTCGTGCCCAACCTTTTGTCGGCACGTCGTTGCCGTCGATTAGTCACTGGTCTGCAGCGCTCTCCCATCTGTCAAAAACGCACTTGTCAGACGATGAGTACTGGACTTTGATATCAGCGCAGAGAACGGCGAATTTATCGCTGTGGAACCTGATCGTTATTCATCGGGGGCGAGAATGACTGGGGCAAGAAGAAATGGTGGCGCGGTCTCACCCACCTTTTCGATCGTACCATACGCGGCTAGACTAGAATTTTTCTGATGGGGTTTCAAACTTATTCAAAAAATAGAAGAGATTCCTGGTAAATAAAAAGAGGATATTCAATAGTGCTGAGACTAGATTGGTGTTTCAACCAGGGCGAATAACGGTCGAGAATTTCCTGGGGGGGGGGGGGGGGGGGGGGGGGGGGGGGGGGGGGGGGGGGGGGGGGGGGGGGGGGGGGGGGGGGGGGGGGGGGGGGGGAGGGGGGGGCTCAATGGCGAGAGTAGTGTCGAGAGTGAATGAATGCGCGGAGAGCACAGACGGCTCGCAGCTGGCGAGAGTGAGCATCCGCGTGGGAGAGCGTGAAAGAATCCTCGACAAGCCGTTGTCTTTTCCTCAAGCGATTTTCACCCTGGTTTCAACACTCAAGGCACAATTCTGGCAGAGTCGTGCGGGTTCTCTTTAATTTGTAGGATAGACCCTTTGGGAGAACATCATAGATATGGCACTACTGTGCATGGAATCGCCTGATGAGGTTAGAACCTTGCAAAGTTTGCTTCATCAGCTTCAAATCCCCCGTCCAAAACAGGCTGTTGTCAGGCGCCCTCTCATTTTATGCGCTCCCTCACCACACACTCCTGTATACGCTCAGTCTCTCATTGCCTTACAAGGAAAGGCTCTCAGGTCGCCATGGCCATTCAAGAAGAGATGTATACCGCTAGATGTGCCTTTGAACGCTGATCTCAAATCTACCTTCCAAATCTGCTAAACGATTCTCTGAAGGGAGTTATGAAGCAAAACAGCGCAACGGCAGTGGTCGGGATTTGCAGTCAAAACGTCGTAGGATCGGCCCCTGATCGCGTTTACTGTCTTGCGTTCTTCAGGAATTAGGCTAAATAGGCTATTAAAAGCCTTTTAGCTGTACTCCTGAAGAAGGCAAAACAGTAGACGCGATCAGGGGCCGATCCTACGACGTTTTGACTGCAAATCCCGACCACTGCCGTTGCGCTGTTTTGCTTCATAACTCCCTTCAGAGAATCGTTTAGCAGATTTGGAAGGTAGATTTGAGATCAGCGTTCAAAGGCACATCTAGCGGTATACATCTTCTTGAATGGCCATGCGACCTTTAGAGCCTTCCCTTGTTAGAATAGCCGCATTACGACGATGAGCAAGCCCTTACATGAAGCGTTTTCAAGCGATTCCTTTTCTTTGCTGGCCTTTCGCAACACTGTTGCACATACATGTGCAAGAACTGCGCCAGCTTGATCTTAGGTTTAAGGAGGAATCGGAACGTTGCCAGTATACACTGAAAGGGAAAAGATTTTAGGGAGTTACTAGCTTAATATTATGGTCCTCTCTTTCACGTTGTGGAATCTCGAAGTATAGAAGAGTAGAAGATTTGGCGTCAATCAGTTTCTTTTGGGTTACGCCATGCGTTCTCCTTCAATTGAGAATCGTAGTGGCACCAGAATGACAGTGTAATGACTTGTGGAGGCCAGTCGATGTACAATTAATGTTTTTCTCCCAAAGCAGTTTGGATCCTAGCGTTTATTTATGCCTACTTG